CATTCACACTGGAAACACAACAGGAGCAGATGGGGTTCAGGGTCCTCAGCCCCTACATGTATACTCGTATAGCCATGTGCCTGGATATTATAATGAAATATTGATAAAGATAGACTTTACTGTTGTTGCTTTTAGAAAAAATTGAAAGGAACATTTGTCCTGCTTTATACATTTGTGTACATCAATAACTGTGATGTGATGTCCTTAAAGGGGTAGTTCAAACGTTTTGAAGTGGGGTTGTAGGAGGTACTTAGCCATAGCCAGTGTATATCTACAATAGATATTCTATTCTAAACATATTTTAGTCACCTAAAAAGGGTAACCTAAACTTACAAAAATATCAATATTAGCTTAACTGTAAGCCACCTTTTTAATATTTCCTCAAACGTACCTTGCTGTCAGACAGCCTTTTCAAGCGGGAAATGAAAGACTTCATCTTTGCTTATTTCAAAGCTACCAGACTCATTTGACAAAACACAGGTTTCTCCTTACAGAAGTTGCTTGTCTTCCGCTGCCTTGATCAGTTAGTTAGTGTGTGTTATTGTACAACTCTGGTGAATCCATACTAAGCCTTTAAAACACACAATAAGGCAAACTAAGTGATCCAGGCAGCTGTAAACAAAGCAACACGCTCCGTTCTGTAAATGAAGATGACTGTTTTCGTCAAAGGAGTCTGGTGGATTTGAAGAGAGCATAGATAACAGCTTTAGTTTTCTGTTAGAAAAGGGCCCTCACTATGGTCAAGGAAGAAATATTCTCGAAATAGTATACACTTAAACTAATAGATTTTAAGTGTCTAAAGTACATTTTGCCTATAGATCAATCCATAGTAGTAAATCGGTAAATGGAGTAGATTTATATAGCGCTTTTTTTGTTTTAGCGACCAAAAGAAAAACAAACTGGGGGCTATTGATCGCCATCTACTGTACTTACCTCACGACAACGCATTTCAAAAAGTTTGAACTGTCCCTTTAAATTCAAGTCCAGAGAGCTGAAAAGCATAGTTGAAGTACTGGTGATGAAATACACAGCTACAACTCACCGAGGCCTGTCTCGGGGAAGCGGGTGTGTGCTCTGTGAGGCTCTCCATCGCTCGCCGGGTGTCAATATCAGCCCTATAAAAAAGCAGACAAATATTCACACATCAGGGCTCTCTGTCATTTTGAAAAATCCCTTCCCATGGCATCATTGATCAAAATGTGAATGCATAATGTGACGGCACTAAAAATAATATATATGCAGCTTCAGAAGTTGAATTATAGAGGTGGATCAATTTGGTCTGGTCAGCAGCACCGGGGAGGAGAGATTTTTTAATAATGTGAAAATGTCAAATTCTAATGCATGTTGAGAGAAAGATCTGCTGCCTTTTGACTTTACAGGCTTTTGACTCTTTACGTTTCCAATGATACTTTTATCACATTCTCATCAAGGAGATTTCAAAAACCTGAAAACCATGCAATTGTTTTTTAAGCTTAGTGGATATGAAAAAATAAAAATCAATATTCAGTCAGAGCAGTCAGGCCTAAATTAGAGTAGAAAATAAAGAAAGGACTGCATAAGAGTCCCATTGCACTCATTGTGGATTACTATATCAGAGTGTACAAAATTCAGTCATTTAAAATTACATTTGAATAAACTTTAAGAAACGTGCAGCCTTTAAACACTGATTTATCCAGTCAAAATGTTTTTTGTAGTTCAAATGTCTAGTTCTAATTAGTTGTCTTTTCTGAATGAACATTTCTACTGTGCATGTCCATGTCATCACTTATTATCATTTTCTTCGCTTTAAAAATCTGGCAAAATGTTGTTTTTTCTTTCTTTTTGTAGTTCAACAGATCATTTATTATTTGTGTTACTATAGCAGGTAACAAAACACTAAAAATCATCTTGTCTTGTAAAAAAAACAATAACTGGTGAATTCAGTTGTGTACGGCCAACCTGCTAAGTGGAGGCAAAAAAAACCTAAGAGTACTGTTTTGATATTCAGTCTTAAATACCTATTCCTCCGGAGGATTTCTCTATCCAGATCATCAGACAGTCTCAGCTGGCCACAGTGCAGATCCCTCAAGGATTGATGCAAAACGTGAATCTAATTAAAGATACATAAAAATACACAAAAATGATAACGCGAGCATGGTAAAAAGATAGTCATCATTTCCTTTATGGAGATGCAAATGTATTGCTACCACTGTGGTAAGTAGATTCAAAAATAAATAGCACTCCTAAACACACTATAGGCCAAAATACTAATATATACAATTATTCAATCATATAAATCTAACAAACCCATTCCTTAGATAAGCATTATAAAATCCATGTCATTGTTCCTGACTCGGTGCGACCCCTAGTGGAAACTCTCTGACACTACATTATAGTAGTAAGTAGCACTGATTGATATTGGGTGGTTTGTCTCTCACATCCTCTCCTGGCAGGCTAGCATCTTTGAAGCGAACACCGGCGGACTGAGACCTCCGCGTCCTGTCTGGAGTGCTTGTATAGTCCTTCAGTGGAGAAGTAGGGAAGAAACGCTGGTCATCTGAAAAAACATCGATATAAAAAAAAGGGTTAAAGCAAATGATTTTACGGTGTTCTTTTCACGTTTGTTGTTGTCATTTTGGTATGTTGTTTCCCTATTCATGTTACATCTTTAAGCAAATCATACAGAAGTAAGACGTAAATGAGAGAACAGCTGAGAGTAAATATCATTTATTTTACTCCATACCTGATCCTGAGCCAGCTTCCAGGTCACTTGTGTGCAGGGTGGAGGCTGAAGCTGAAGCACTCCGAGCTCCGATGGTCCTGCTCACCCTCTGGGTCTGCAGCTGGCTGATGGACTCCTCCAGGTTGTCCCTGATCTGGTGCAGGAAGGGAAAGAATCAGAGATAAAACAAAAAATAACATAGCATTAGGAAGCAAAAACAAGACTGGTGTAAATAATGAATGATGACATTAAGAGATAAGTAATCCAGAACATAATAAGACAAATCAAATCCCTTAAAAGATCTGGAGAAGAAGAAATAAAGGAATTTGTGTTTAAAATGTGCATCGAAATAGAATTAACAGTAGGATAAACTCAAATATATCTTTAGTAGTATACGATTGGTATCATATCGTCCTTAAAAATGTTATGATTATGCACTGAAGATGTTTTATCAATCAGCTGAACAGTACAATGTCTAGTGCATTCCCACAACTATTGAAACAAAGTTACATTTTGACAAATGCTTTCTTTATCTCATCTAAATGTATTTGAATAGCTAAAATAATGTGTTTAGGTCTTTTAACCACATGTACCTGAAATAATCTGACATCAAAACATGGCTGTATGTGCAATGGAAAGACAAGCACCTGCATCTTATTGTGAAATCAAAATGTAAAGAATAGGTGTCTCACCAGTGTCATGGCTTCAGCCTGATCATCTGTATGCTCCCTGTAATGGCCCAGCATCCGGTCTACTTTGGTCAAGTTTCTACTGGTATCCTGCCAGACAACAACAGCGTTAATTACCAATGAATGAAATAACTCTGGGTTTCAATGCATGTTATATATACACATAAAGGCTAGTGTTTAGCTTATGTGTTGAATGCTATTGAGCTCAGTACCTGTAAAGTGCTCGCCAGTGTGCTGATCTTCTCGGACATATCTGCGGGTCGAGGCTCACTCCCACCGGCTCTGCCCCTGTCCCGGTCCGGTCTGTGGTGGGCTTCACGCCCCCGACGCCGGTGCACTCTCGTCCTGTCGTATGACTCCGTTTCACTGGATGTATCCATAGTTTAGGGCAGGTTTACAGTGGAGGCGACGATAAACGGCTGATGATAGCCAGCACTAGCTTCTCCTGCAGAACACGCTAACCGTTACCTGCTACATTAATCAGATTAACGAACAAACTGGGCTGGTTATGAACTTTTTCTACAATATATATTGTTGTCATACTTAGCAGACGTGGGGGCTTTGTCATTGTTACCGTGACAACCCGTTGAGACAGAGAGCTATCTGACCAGCAGCACACTACAATTCAAACTGCCCCTATCAATCACTGTAGCAGGCATTGTTGTGATGCTCCTCCAGGCTAGCAACAAGTGGAAACTACTATGACCGTTAGCTAGCTGACCAAACGTTAGCCAACTTATAAAGTCCTGTGAGACTCCCGTGAACTCTGCGAAACACTGCGTATGTCCAGCAGCAACAGAGCAAATAAATGCTACCTCAAGAAATACGTTAAACCAAAGCCGTTGGTTTAGTTTTGCGAGTGATAGCGAACAGAGGAACAGCCTTGCTATGGCAACTTGAACTAGCCGCGTCTGAGCCGGAAACAACAACAGAAAACAGCGGCTGCAAAGGACGCTGGGAAATGTATGCTGCTGACTATGAAGCAGTGTAGGAATGTATTATTTGTGAACTACATTGTCCAAAGGAATGTGTTAGCACCAGTCTTGCCGCTTAGAAAAGAGAAGAAAAAAAAGAAGAAATAAATAAAACAAAGCAGAGGTTGTCATACATGAAAAAACGAAACTCTTAATAAAAAAATGTTTTAATAAAACAAAGACATTTATTGAAATTGAACGTAAAATATAAGTGGGATACCTGGCTTTAAAGAAAAGTAGACTACTTGTTGCTGTATATCAGAATAGGCTGCAATACAATGAACGTTTCAAGGGGGAAAAGAAAAACAAACTATTCTCGAGTCTGACACAAGAGTGCCTCAGAAGTCCACCCTCCCCTGAAGTAGAAGACCACCTCCAAACCCACCAGAGCTGAAGCTGTCCGTCCTACATCATCCCCACCTTCACAACCTCACAGAAACTCCTGGGCCCCCGTAAAGAGCATAACACTCCAGCCCAGTTCCACTGACTCTACCTGAGGATTACACACCAAAAACAGACACCCTTGACTATCCTGGCTTCTTTTTGTTTTAAGGTTTATATAAATGCTTGTTGTGGACATCAAGAGGACTGTCAAGAAGTTATTCTGAGCCGCCTGACAGCAAGCAGCCCTCCAGCATGCAGGTGATAACATGCGTGTTGTTTACGCTCGTCACTCTCCATGTGAGCACCGCGGCGGAGGCTGACTCCTGTCCTGCTGTCTGCGAGTGCACTGAGTGGAAAATGCACACAATCTCCTGCCGTGACATTGATATTCTCCCCAGGTTTCCAGCAGGCACGGAGACACTGTAAGTAGGCGTACAAAACGCATCTGTAAAAGTCATTTTGCTGCTTTTTCTTTCATGCATTTTGAATGTAAAGTGCTCTTAACCCCAAGGAAAAATCATTATAATATCATGAATAATCCTTCAAAGTGCTCCCGCAGGGACTTTGAGGCTGTCTGTGATGTTAAGTAGCTATTCCATTTTAAAGTATTATTTTTAGTCTATTATCTCTATGACTAACAAGATATGTTAAAGGTTCATGATTTACTTGAAGTAGCTGGAACACTAAACGTACAAATAATTGATAGGTGTAGTTTAAAAAAATACATTTTAATGACTGTAATGATTAATTTATTTGAACTCTTTTTATTACCTTGAATAGGAACTGAACCATTATTCCACCAGAATATAAAAAAATCATATAAAAAAACAAAGCAGGTATACAGGTAACTCAATAGGTATAAAAGACAACCTGAGTATCTCAAACATATTGTGGATTTTCTTTTTATTTGGGGTAGTCTTTAGTGTTTTCTTTATTTTGCATCCGTTCAATTATCATAGAACATGTACACAACATTAACTTATATCATGATCATCATATTATTAATTTCCAATGAATATTTTAATTACACATTTACTGTAGCCGTTAAAATATGAGGATGGATGGAGGGAGATTTGCAGAAGGCTCCAGGGTATTTAAAGTGTCTATTTTTTTTTGGTCAACCCTATTATGTGCAAATTATAGAAAAGATAACACCTTTGGAATGATGGGCTCATTCTATTCGACAGCTATCAGACTACACTTTACACTAAATAAAGTGAACTGGATCACACTATGCCCACTCCTCTTATTTAATAAATCTTTACAGTAACATCATTATCACAGCACGGTAATAATTTGTTGCCATTAGAGATGCAAGTTATATATATATAAGAATTGGGTATTGAACAAGTAATCGTTTCCATTAGACATTAATCTGTAAAATAGTTTTTAAAGAATAGTTTTGGTCGATAAATTGTCAGAAAATAGTAAAAATGTCCATCACAATTTATAAAAGTCCAAGTAGAGGTCTTTACATGTCTTGTTGTGTCAGTCCAAAACACACATTCTATTTATTCAGGTAAAAACTAACTAAAAGGAAATGTCCATATACAGCAGAGACATGCTTTGATGATTACTCTAACGATAAGTTGATTATCATAATAATTGGCACTTTTTGAGGATCAACTTATCAATTAGAATTAATGCTTAAACTATAAAATGTCCGAAAATTATGATAAGCATTGCAATCTGAGTGCAATATGGCATCTTTATATTGCATATTTTTATCCAATTCAAATCTGTGCAATTTACAGTGATATACGGTGTAAAGGGGAGAATAACAGAAAGTTGTGTTCAAGGCCTAACACCTTCTTTAACTCATGTACTAAAAAAAGAAATGACAAATCTTAAATAAAAAACCTTGTTATAACTACATTTTTTAGGATTCTGTTAGCAGTTGGCCAAAAAAACAACAGAATTGTAAAAAAAAAAAAAGTATAACCAACAGCTGTTAAGTCTGCAATCTGCCTTCTTGATACTTGAGACCCTAAACTAAAGAATGCGTCATAATTCCCTGGGAGCCGACATTATGTAATATGTCGGGGTCAAGTCTGAAAAGTGTAGCGGGGCTTCTACAAATCCTAAATTGCTCAAGTGCAAGACAAAGATGATGCAACAGAGAGCGAGCGGCCTTGAGTGATGGAAACACATGCCCTTTAGAGGGACTCAACTGCATGTGTGGAAACATAGAACTCAAGGAGGTAGAAGGGGGTATTTCCATTAAATAAAAATTGGGCTTTTTCTAGAATTTAAAATACTTTTCTCTTTGATTCTCTTACACAAACATTTCTCAGAATCACTCATGTGGGGCTCACAAATGTCCTGCGCTGTGTTATGATAATGATCATTCCTTTCTTACAGTTTATCAGAACACCCCTCCATCCACTTTGAATTGCCTCAAAAAGCACCCATCACATAAAATTATCTCCCGATCACTGACCCAATTCACTTGACCACATGCCCCGATGTCCCCTTAGACTTCCTCACATTCCTGCCCAGAGTTTACCCAGAGCCCTCCAGGAAGATAGATAGACATGAAAGCATGCCACCAAGCTAATGATAAAAAATACCTGCCAAATAAGCCCAAAATAGACTGTGTATTAAGCGGGATCTTCTAGCAAATGAGGCGTGAGGGAGATTTTGTTGTTCACACAATGAGGAATGAAGCCCAGTTCAGTTCCACTGATGCCAGCTAGGCCAGAATTAAAGTCTCTGAAGATTCCAGGTTTTGTTTTGGTGGGGTCAAACTTCAACTCAAAATGTGTGTGATATAGGAACCTTGTCTTTTGGTCAAAATGTTCAAGTCCAACTAAAAAGTAAAATGTGTAAAGTATGAAGCTACAACTGGAAGTTGGTTTGTTAAGCTGTGCTTAGCATAACGGCTGGAATCAAGAGTGCACAGTCAAGTACAGAAAGCATTGTAAAAGTGCCAATTTGTTGTTTTTAAACTTTGCTTACTATATGGATTAAGCACATTACATATTGAGTGCTGCAGGTTTTGAGTACGTATTTTTTATGGGATTTGGGGATTTTTGATTATTGCAGAAAAAACGTCTTGTGGCAAAACAAAGTTTGTGATACTTAAAAGTTTTGTCCAGAAAGATAATCTTCACAAATGAAAACAATATTGTAGGTTCTATAAAGTAAAAGCCATAGTTTTTCTATCAAACAAATTACATCGCAGGCGCATGACTTCAACGTCAATGTCATAGAACAAAACATTTTTGTTAACCTTAAACCTTTTTTCAGACATAGAAACCCAATCAAAAACCAATGACTTTCTGGACGTTAGCTAAAATCCTAACTAATGTATTGGTTTTAAGACTCATACCTGCCGCTCTCCATTATGTATTAATGTGCTACCTATCGATGTGTTAAAAGGCAAAATGACCTACCTCTGGACAAAGCTGGCTAGCTGTTACCACCTGTTTGCAGTCTGTGTACTAAGATAAGCTAAATGAAGCTGGTTGCTGGCTCTTTAACTATATTTAGTGTATAAATATTAGCATGCTATCTTCTCTGCTAACTGTCTGCCAGACAGCAAATACGCTTTATTCCCAAACGAATACCTTTTAAAACTTTATTTCAACATGGGTAGAGGTCAGTGCTCTCAAATTGCTTTAAAATTCCTACTCTATCAATACAATATTTTTGAAAATGTCCCATCGGCAAAGCATTTTATTAACATAAGAGTTTGGTTAAAATATTTTGTAAATATGAGACTATGTGTTGTATTCAAAAAACAAAATGCAAAGCAAGTATGTGAGTGGTGTGCATGTGTGGACACTTAAAGATTGGAGTCCTTTGTGTGCGTGTACTTGTGGAGGTTACTCCATGTGTCACTGGGAGTCAGAGAGGTAGAAAGGAAAGCACAGCCGCGCTTAAAAACCTGCGTAGCGTGACTCCCGACTGCGTCTGGTCGCTTTGGATAAAAGCGTCTAACAAGTGACATGTAATCTAACAAGTGACATGTAATGTCTGGACGATGCATTCAAATACAATATTTACCTTTTACAGCACATTTCTCAAACACCCGGAGAGCTCCATTTGAGAATAATTAAGAGGAAAAAAGACTTCAAGGGGAAAGACGGGAAAACACAGCAGCTCCAGTCTTTCAATAACCTCAGCATTTTTTAATTGGAGTTTAAACATGAGATAACTGGTTATTTTTGTCGTCCCTCGACCTCTCATCTATAAAACCGACCAAAGAGAGAAACCCCAATGCTGGTTCCTGAATGTTAACAGATGAGCACTGGGATTAATTGTAAAATAAGAAGTGGGACGTTGAACATGATGAGCTGGAGCTGAGATTACTGGAAATACTGACAGTTTCCCCACATATTCATTTGTACGATGATTTGGGTAATGGAAATCGTGACTGTAACTTCACATTCTGCTATAATTATCTTGCGTTTTTATAAAAATAACAAGTATAATCTTGAAAAAATGTAATTAAACTGTTTGATTTATATTGCATGTCCAATAATTCTCACTGAGAAGACATTAAAGCATTGCTACTTATATAAGTTTACATTGAATCACACTGCAGGTTCACTGTGCATCAGAATATGTAAATGACCCTCTCTTCCAGTCACCACAGACCTTTACACATCAAAAGCCCATAGTAAACACAGCTATGTTGTCAATCAAATGCTGGCCGTATCATGAATTATGTGGCTTCTCCCCACTTCAAACTCAATTCCCAACCTGTTTGTTTTCTCAGGTTTCAATCCAAAATGACAAATTGGGGGAGTAATTTTCTCCTCGAGCTCTCGAGATGGGCTTGTTGGTGTTCTCTCCGCGCTCCCTAGAGAAAATGCCTGCTGGTTATTTGGGTTTGTGCGCGGTGGTGAACCAGCGCAAATCTGACTGGGGTGTTTGGTGTCAGGGTCTGCTCTGTGTCACTCTGTTTGTTTGAGTTTGTCAGAATGCATTCAGGTTGCTGTGCTTCCATGTCTACTGACTAAAACCCCCCATGATTCAGTCTCATGGGCCAGATCTCAGCCTCTGAATTAGTCTATTGTTCCCCTGATCAACCAAAGGTGCCTAAAGACAGTCACGTATAGGCTGAGTCACCGTTACGAACCTGATTCCAAATAGATGTATACATGGAACAAGCTCTGAATGTATACTCTGCTGCGGGGTGGCCCTGGAGTTCAATATGACATCAACACATGTGGCCACCATCTTAATCTCTTTTCTCTATTACTCTGTTGTGATTCCCATATCCAACACAACAAAATATGTAGCTTGATCACAGGAAATAAATAACACGTTTTGACCAGCTTGGTAAAAATGCCAACAATTTTCTCAAAACATTTTGGGAGATACGCTTATTACTTCAGCCAAGGAACAGATTAGTGTGGGCCAAGGAATAACCAATTTAATCTTGAAGCAGATCTGCAACATTCTACAAATACACACATTATTTTTCACCATTGGAAACGACCATAGCAAAGGTCGTGTTCTATTCTAGTTTACTTTAGTTTATGGGAGGGGGAGGGGAGACCAGGTGCATGTAGCGAAAAAAGTATTGTTACAGTGGATGAAGGGGGTGGGGGTGGGGTGTCTAAAGTCAAAGATGAATCTTGATTGGACCAAATGTGACCCCGAGTCACCCACAACAATTCTGCTGGGTCTTCCCAGACCCGAACACCAAATTATACACTTTTCTTTTTAGAGACCTTCAGACTTGGCCAAAATCTGTCTTGTAGTGTTTATCTAGCTGTTGTGGAGGATATCATGAAGCCTTAGGCGCTTTCACACCGCAGAGCGTAGTTATTATATAATCTTAACTTGAAACGGGTCACGGGAGACCCGAACACAACATAAGGGTTCATTGGCAAAAGCTAGATTTGCCGTTTACCATGCTTTTACAGTAGCCTTTATGCTAAGCTAAATAAGCCAACAATCTTTTTTGTTATGTGGGTAGTATTTATCTTCTCATTTAGTTCTTATCAAGAAAGAGCCTATCTACAAAAAGGTTAAACTATTTATCTTTAAACATTTTTTTTAAATTCTTACAAAAATGTCTCCTCCATTCATTCAGAAACAGCAACAAGCTAACAGGTTTGACTTTTGTGTAAAATGCAGGACTATAGATCATGTTATAAAAAAAGATTCCCTTTTTCAGTGCGACTGTGGGACAACACTGTGGAGGTCCATTTGTATGACACGTTAAGGTCCCAACCTTCATTTCTGAAACATGGTCCTAAACAGACCCAGACATTGTTTGATTTGGCTGCCAGCGCAGGTCCAGTCAGATCCAAGGCTTTGTTTTTTCCCATGTTCCTAGAATAGGGGGTCTGTTTCACCATGTGCTTTGAATAAACCTTTGATCTGATTCTGAAATTGACCCTCTTTATCTGCCTTTCTCTTTTGCTCTTCTGTTACTTTTAGATTTATTTTTGTCTTGAATTATTGGACATTTGACAGACATTCTAAATGTTCAATTTACATTATGATAAGAAAATCACTTTAATTAAAAAAATATAATTTTGAGTAATGCCTAATTGAATTTCTAAGTAATGGATACCAATTATGTTGAATATGAAGCAACAACCAGGAGATGGTAAGCTTAAAGACTTGAAACAGGAGGGAAAAGTTAGCCTTGCTCTTTCCAATGATAACAAAATCCACCTAGCTGGACCGCTAGATCCACTTACATCAAGCTAAATCTAAATTTGTACAAAAACTGAGGTGTAAAAAAATCAACTACAGTATGGGGATGACTATTACTAGGCCATGAGCAATTGTAAGTCAACCAGTTGAGACTTCAGGAAGTGCTCCAGACCAGAAATAGCATGACACTTCCTTCTTTTAAAGATAAAACAAACACAATTTAACTTTTTTGAATTTTTATATATGAAGGTGCTGCTTAATATACCAATTCAAGCTGAACATGAAGCAACGACCAAGAGACGGTTAGCTTAGCATTAAGACTTAAAATGGGAGGAAGATGCTAGCCTTGCTCTTTCCAACAATAACAAAATCCACCTGTACTGCTAAACCCACATCCATAAAGCTAAATCTAATTTGTTATGTCCTTACAAAAACTGAGGTGTAAAAACACAAACTGGTCATTTGACGAGGAGTTATGGAGCTGACTATTACTTGGCCAAGAGCAATGCAAAGCAACCAGCAGAGACTCCAGGAAGTACTCGAGAAAATAGCCTGGCACATTGCAATTCGTAAAATAACTATATATTGTCATCACAGATCTAAAAAAATACAATTTAACTTGTTTTTGATAATTAATGTGCTGCTAAAGAAATGTTGTTACCTTTGGGAAAACTTTGGGCCGTTTTCAGTTTTTATGCTACGCTAAGTTAAGCTAATTGGCAGCTGGCTCTAGGTACACACAGATGTGAGAGTGGCTTTCTCATTTGCCACTCTGCAAGAAAGCTAATAAGCATATTTGGCAGCATGTCTATTACTTCTCTTTAAAAATGTCAAATATAACATCAGTGTAAAATGTGTTTGTGACAACTAAAAGGTCCGTCTTTATTTTCCAACCAGATGGCTTTTTGAGACCCGCCTGACATCAGTGCCAGCAGACGCCTTTGCCTACCTGGTCAACATCTCATGGATGTGAGTGGCAATTTATTCAGTGGCTTTATTACATTCAAGGCTGGTACACTTTTCATTAACTGCTATTCTAAAAAAAAAAACCTTCACGGTGGCTCTCATCCACCTGTTGCCTTTTCAACTGCTTTGCTTAAAAAATGGGAACCAATCCCAGCTCCAAACTGCCCACCCACTTTCCTTTCTGTCTCCCACCCAAGCAGCTGATATGCTCTCTGGTTAGTATTAGCGCTGGCTCTTAATCACAGCTGGAAGCGCTAATGCTTTCCTTCAATAGGAATGTTGGTCCTTCAACCACAGTAGAGGTGTAGTCTCTGTGTAAAGGTAAAATATACACTTGATCCCCAGCCGCTGAGTCCGTTGTCTGTGCCCAAGTCATGCATGAAGGGATAAAACATTTTCAGTAAGCCTTAAACAGCCACAAGTGTGCTAAGCCAGTTTCCATTTACTCGCGCTTTCACACCGGAGTACTTTTACCCGTACTTTTCCCGTTTAGTTCCGTTAGTGCCTGGAATTTTGCGTTCACACCGTAAAACTCTGAAAAGTTTTTTGAAGCCGCCATTGTATTTGCTGGCATTAGCATTATTAGCATTAGCATTAGCCCCGCGCACCAACGAAGAGAGAATAACTTATGGCAAAAAAAAAAAAAAAATGGGAGCGGTGGAGTGATGAGGATGTGTCGGCGTTCTGGCGATTTACTCGGAAGGCTTCAGAAGCCAGTCCCCAACTCCGGGGACTTCGGGTGGCAGTATACGCCGTGAAGTTGTTTGCGGCCTGCCAGTAAACCCAAAGCAGAAGAAGAAGAAGTGACGTCAGCGGCTTCATTTGCGTAATCTTCCCTCAGGGAACTTATTCCGGTGTGAACGCGATCGGCTCTTAGTTCCATGGAGGTACTGTGCTGGGAACTAAGTGCTGGGAACTAAGTAGGCCTACGGCAAAGTACTTGGTGTGAAAGCGGCTTTTGTTTGCTCTTCAGACAGACTGCATAGTATAAAATACAGCAAAATGGCTGCCAAATTCTCAAACACTATTTTTTTTCTGTTTAGTTTGCCAACATTTATTTTTTGTTAAGTGCCTGTAATACCTATAACTATAAACAGAATATTTGTTTTTTTTCTAGTCATTTCTAAGTTTCGTTGAGTGCTAAGTTCATGGTTTATTTAAAAGGCATACTTGTTACCAAGTAATAACAAATGGAAACAGAGTGACTGATGAATAGGTAATGTATATGTGAGGTGCATTCCTAAAAATTACCCATGAGGTTCGAGGCTTTAGGCACGTCGGGTTGATAATATATCCAGGAAAGAGTTGCAGGCTGTAGAATCAGAGCCACACACTCATTTATAAAAACATTATATTTCACCATGTAAGACAGATGGTTGAAAAAACATCATCATTTTGATATTACAACGCCATGTGTACTTAAGATTTGGTATAAGCTCTGTGTATTCCTTTCAGATATATATCGGTGGACGTGACGCTGCAGAGGTTGGAGAGGCACTCGTTTCACAGCCTGAAGAAAATCACCCACATGTGAGTAACTAAAGGAAAATGGCACACTTTTTATCGATCCTCATTGATTAAGCTGTTCCATTTGCTCTCAGGAAAGAAACAAATGCTTAATTTTGAACCTTGCCAGCAGCAAATGGAAGCAAAGAGGAAAAAGATTAGAAGCTTATTTCAGTGGCGTGTTCACTGAACTGCTCCTTATCAGAGCTGTTTAGACTCTCTCGCATTTCAAGAAATTGACGAAAACTGACCCTGTTGTGGCAATTGTTTCTCTGAATTAGATGCGAAACAATTCAATTTGATTTGATCTGCAGCATTATTACTGAGCTTGGTATAAACAGAGAAGTAGAGGCCGAACAAAAGCCAGTATTTGGATTCTCTCCTCGTCTTCCTCATGCTCCAGCTCTTGTTAAGGTAGCTCAGGGGAAAGAAAGGCGAGCAAGGTGCGCTTTATTCTCAATTATGGGATAGAGATTTATGGCTGAGTCTCCGGGTGGACCACACACTTTCCAGCAGAACACCTCCTAGCAGTTCATATATTATAAGACTTCCTGCCCATGAGAATGATTTGTTCCAAGTTACAGCAGTGTTTGTGTGTATGCTATTTGTTTCCACTCTTCAATTACAGCATCGAATGTGGACATGTATAGCAGTTTGACACGGTAGCTGGGATTAACAGCGACATAAATGTATTTGACATGCCTCTATGGGTGTGTGTGTATCATTTACCTGTCATTTTCATCTTAATTATCCTTCCTTTTAGTCTCTACTTATTAGGTGCCGAATTCCAGACAGCGAAATACAGACAGAAACAATAATTCAAGCTGCGAGCTGAGGGTTGTATCAGTGTTCTGGGGGTGTATTTTGGATCTCCGGGGCCTATTTGCCACTGATTGGTGTGGTGTAGTGCCATACATCAGATAATGGCATCTCTCTCAGGTTTCCTTCAGGGTCAGACACAAATTAATGCTCTGCTTCCTGTTGGAGGCTTGAGGCCGACAGCAGCTGTGGATCTAAAGACTGCAGTCTGAGCCCAGATATTCAGAGGGGGCTGGGTAAAGTTTGTATCATACCACCATCAAGTAAAACCGGCAGTGTCTGGAATTCCTGTTTTTTTACTAGAAAAATGTGAAGTTTTTTTATATAGTTAAATCTCAGTCTTGCTCATCTAATTGCAAATGATGTGAGTCCACTAATGATCAACCTATGCATAAACCAACAAGTCCTCCAACTCATACGACCAAAGGTCGATTGTTCAAGCCCTTATTACGATCAAATAGGTTGATTGTTCAAGCGCTTATTACGACCTATAATCACGTTTTAAAGTTTTCGACCTCGAGTGCTCCTGTTGACTGCAAACGCTCCGGAGGGTCGTATATTCACAAATAACCCTCTCTGGAAAATCCTAAATTGTAGGATAGTTTGGCCATCAAAATGCTTTTTGATTAGATTTCTAGCGAGAAGTGTATATTGTACTTTTAGAATCCATGTCCAGTGGATGTGTAGGATCTATAGTTTGATAGATATTACGAAGATGATTTGAGGTCTCACCAGGAGAACGTGTAACGGCAGCGTCCATGTAAAGTTAGCGTCAACCCTCTCGGGGTGAAAACAGTATTTCCGGTCTCGAAGTTTTCATAATAAAACCGTATTCCCCTCACTGTCAAATGATTTTAAAGCTATATCTGCAGTACTCATCCACTAAAAAACATCAGTTTATCCTTGTGAATTACACAACATTAATTGGTTTAAAATGTGTACAATGCTTTTGTGTTTTTCCCATAGCTTTTTCCCTTTCGATTCTGAGAGACACATTTCTTTTTTCAGAGGTTTTGATAGGCTAAAACATCGAACTACCCATAATCCTCAGCTATCGTTGAAGCTCGGTGATTGGATGTTTTAACCGTAATGCACGTTTACCGTTCTGTTTTAATTTCCGTTCTGTTTTAATTTCACAATAAAGTTAATAGTAATATTATGTTTGATATTATTATGTTTTATTAACTAGACCACTGGGTCATGTTTGGTGTTACAAATATCAAAACAATATATGTGTGGATAACAAAATAAATCCGTCATAAACTAAACTGGAAATTATACTGGAAAGTATAATTTATTGTGTTAACACTGTAAACTTGACAGTTTTTTAACCCGAACTACCTAGTGGTTAAAGCACGTTATTGCATTTTTTTAATAAGGCTTTTTTTAAACATTAAAGAATACTTTAAGTTAAGGTCTTCTTTTGAATAAGAAAAAAAAGTTGGGGGTATCAACAGATACATATTAAGCCTGACAAAGTACTTAACGTCTAATATATTGCATAGTTTATTTTGGCACTTGACAATCACCTTCCCTGAATTTTACTCAGGTGTAACTAAAGTCTGCTTTAAGGGTCGTTTATATTTCACATCATTAATCAGAATCTGCAAAATAACTAAAATAAATGTAGTGGAGTAAAAATACCAGGTTAACCTCTGAATTGTAGTGGAGTAGAACAAAGTTGCACATGCTGCTGTAACAAAAACATTTCCCAACTTGGGATCAATAAAGTATATCTTATCTTATCTTATCTTAAGATGATCGATGGCTACTGCCATATTTGCAAAATGTGCCTCTGAACCTTGACAAGTGCATGTTTCAGGCTTATCAATTAACAACAGGAGGGGTCACAGACATAAGACCAGCTGTTAAATAAAGCTCTTCTGACCTTAGCTGTCATGTGGGTATATAGTAATGCTGCCCATTATGGACACAAGCGATTTTCACCCATTTATGAATTATATGTTTTAAAGGTCCCATGTCATGCTTTTCTGGTTATTATTGTGAGTTATGTAGCTTTTTATGCATGTAAACGGTCTGCAGAGTCACAAACCCTCAAAGTACACCCTGTAGCGAGTAAAACTCTAATGCAGAAAATACCTGTCTATGCTGCCCCAGAACGCCTCGTTGGGGATTTCTCTTTTTCCATTGTTTACTTCTTGGGTATAGTGATGTATTTCGGGTATAGTGACGTAACATAACGTAACGTAAGCGGAGCCGTTACGTTTGGACCAATCCGCGGACTTCCTCACAAACACACACTCGGCAGGACGTTGCGAGGCTCGCTGCTGCGAGGAGCGAGACACTGTGAGCTGGCTCACTGGTATGGGGTCGGCGAGACAGCGAGACACCGCGGAACTCTGCCTGGGCACACACACAAACTCCCAGCCAGGCTGCGGGTGTGTGTGTGTTTCGGGCTAGGTTTCGCTGTGTCTCGCTGTCTCGCAGACGGCCACTGGGCTCACAGGAAGGGGGGGGACAGGAGCTCCAACAAGCCGTTTAAGACAGAGAGTGAATACACATACTATACAGAGATGCTGTATGAGAAACCAATGTGAGTTTGGAAAATTGCACAATTTAAATGTATTTTAGTATACCTAATTATGTTGTGATGTCCTTTTTGTTAATTATGTTGTGATGTCCTTTTTGTTTTCTGTTGTTTTTATGTGTAACCAATGTACCGCAGGTCTCCCTTAAAAAAGAGATCGTTGATCTCAATGGGATTTTTCACCTGGTTAAATAAAGGCTACAAACAAACAAACCTCAACAATGGAATTATGATCAGTAGAAATGGCCATGACATGGGACCTTTACATTTGATAACACCAATGTGTTTCGTATCCCCTAAACCTCCAGGGATGTACACAGTTTAATACTGGCAACTTCTAATTATGGGAAATACGAAAACGTCTTTTAAAACTACAATTCCCAGTAGAGACGTGCCATAGAACAAGTTGCGAAACACAATAGCCAGCATGTGTAGTTCTGGGGGGGTTCCCGTTCAAGTCCAGTTTTGGATAGTCTGCCGTGGATTCATTCCATTTCAAAGAGCTCGGCGTAACCTTGGTGCACTGCCACTCCAACATCCAATCACAGAGCTTGAGGACTAATCACGGGGTTTGTCAAGCAAAGCGGATGTTGTAGTCCCAAACGATAGCTGAGGATTATGGGTAGTGTAGTGTCTTCGGCCATCCTAAACTCCGAAAAAACTATTTGTTTCTCCGAATCGAAGGTTAAAAACACAAAAGCATTGTACACAATTTAAACCAATCAATGTTGTGTAATTAACAAGGATAAACTGATGTTTTTGAGTGGATGAGTAATGCAGATATCACTGTGTAATCATTTGACAGTGAGGGGAATACTTCCGGTTTTATTATGAAAACTTCGAGACCGGAAATACTGTTTTCACCCCGCGAGGGTTGACACCAACTTTACATGGACGCTGCGGAAAGACGTAGTATATTAACGTTCTCCTGACGAGACCACAAATCATCTTCGTAATATCTATCAAACTATAGATCCTACACATCCTCTGGACGTGGATTCTAAAAGTACAATATACACTTCTCGCTAGGAATCAAATCAAAAAGCATTTGAATGGCCAAACTATTCTACAATTTAGGATTTTCCGGAGAGGGTTATTTGTGAATATACGACCCTCCGGAGCGTTTGCAATCAACGGGAGCATATGCCGCAAATTGTTGTTTCTTACACGACCACTAGAGGTGCTAAACTTTAAAACGTGACTATAGGTCGTAATAAGCTGCTGAACAATCGACCTATTTGGTTGTTTTTTGGAGAAGGACAGGCTGGCATAAACAGTTTGAGAAGGTTTTTAAATCTTCGTTTATTTTTGAGGATCCCCTATCACAACGAAATGTATGTATTTGATCTTTACAGCAGCAAGAACAGCATGTTGTTTGTGTCAACTACTTGAAATAGAGTGGCAGTTAAAGCTGCTTTTATCAATATTTTTTAATTAACTGGATGGCAAATGGAAAAGTAGTCGCTTTGGCTACAAATCATTAGCAGACGCTGCAGTTTCCCTCAACTTTATGGAACTTTTGAGCGTCTTTAAGTTGATTGACCTGGCTTTACAGCCTGCAACCTAATCCCATAACTTTCATTTCCCACAAAAAAACTCAGATAAACACACTGTTTTCTACCTTTTCAGCACCAAACAGCAAACTAATTATGTTAGTGATTAGTGAACATAGCAGCCAGCCATTTAAAAGCCATATTGTGTTAAGGAGTTGGTGGAGACCAAACCGTAGTTTAAATTAGAGAGTATATTGTCTATTAGCCAGAAATATCATTCTTAATTAATGGTTAAGTTACCAGGTGTCTTTTGGAAGACTAAAAACGTTGAAGTGTTACAAAACAGAAATGCAAATTAGGTACCTACCATCAACTGGTTTGGAGAGAAGAGCAGTTTGCAGTGTAGGCTGCTCTTTAGGCAGTGCTGTAAGTTGGCAGTAAACAGAGTAGAAGTAGTAGAGTTTGCAAACCAAAAACAATTCACCTCGGCCATCAAACCCATCTACGAGACAAAAAAGCCGAAAGATCTACTTTGGTTACATTTCTATCACCAACCACAAACAGCTAATCAGCTATGTGAGTTCAATGTTCACCATGCCAGAAATATTTTGGCATAGGCGTTTCCATATCACATTGAACGCATCTAATATTTTCAGCCAAAACCACCTCAAACAAGCACACATGTATGTTTGCGTTATTGAGGACGTTTTATAGAATATGTCGTTTCCATTCCATTGCCGTTAGATCTTTTCTGACTGCTTAGTTAACGCCACCGACCAGTTACTATGGCTAATATTTACACAAACTTTATCAGTAGAAAATCCAAGTAAAAGAAAATCGAATTCTAAACCCCACCGTATGACCGACCCTCTTGGGTTCAAAGGGTTTCAACAACTCAGCCAACTAATGTTCTGCCACTCAGAGTTTTATAGTCTGCTTGACAGACTATGTCATTGGTCATTGGTTACATTGGCTGATAAAACTGCCTTCAACTCCTTCAGTGAAGCTTTAGTCTTTGTACAGCAGCCCTGGGAAGAAGAACCTCTCCCACTGAGTGACTTCCATTGACCTGACCACATCTGTTTGGTGGGCTGACTGTGGTTTGCCAGGTGTGTGAAGAAGGGCCAGAACACACGATCCAGAGCAGCGCATGCCATGGCCTCAGACAGCAGAGGGAGAGAGAGGTGTTCAGTCCAGTCCAGGGCGGACCAGAGTAAACACACTAATGAAACACTAATTGAACTCAACTTCCGGACCTGGCTGTCTGCGCCGAGTTTCCCTCCTCTCGCACACTGGCATGCACCTTGCCCTGTCCTGTCAGCAAGTTTTAAAGCAGTGTGTTTCCGAGTGTGTGTCCTAATGATTTCATAGTGTCTACCACACACACTTCTGTCATTTACTTTTTCTCTGAATGAGTTGTTTTATGTCTCTAAGTCCTTATTGAAGACTCTTTTGTTCTGTCTTGTCTCCAGACAAATACGTAATGCACAAATTCTGACCTACATTGACCCAGAAGCCTTTAAACATCTCCCAAATCTCAAATACCTGTGAGTATTTTTCATTGCATGCTTTAAAGAATGTCATTGAATTCCACATATGGACAGCATTATAGTAAAAGATGAGGGATCTATATTTAAAATGCTTGAGTCTGGAAATCATTTTAACATTGTGGTCTATTCATAGCTTTGTGTTTATCAGAATCAGCAAGAAAAGTGACTGCACACTCTGAACCTTTTTAGAAAATATTAAATGTAACTGGCCTGATTTCATTATTACTTATTATAAGTCCTTTAAGACTCCCTGGCTTGTAACCAGAGAAATGCCAGTAAATGAACAACCTTAAATACTATGTTCCGATAAAACAAAACTGCATTGTGAATTATGCTTTCAAAGGAGTATATTTCATCCCAAATGTAAGCTTTTGAAAACTTGTTTCTGGCGCCTTTTTAATCAAAGTAAATGGATTAATAGGCCAAACAAACAAGCGTTTTTTCACCCGGGAGATAATTGATTGTGTCATATGTGTAATGAAAAGTCACACTTGAGTTATTTTAACTTACATAAGTAATGTACCTGATTAAAGTATAATCTTAACTTACTTATGTTACTCAAGTTACAGACCAAACATACTTCTTTTCACCCAATCTATGATCGTTTACAACATCTACAAGTACTTTTGTTTCATTTTACAATGCTAACCACATGCTTAAAGCTGTAACATAATGGGAACATATTTTCTTTTAGGGAAATACATTGAGTAATTGACAGAGGTGGGAGAAGTACTCAGATATTGTACTTAAGTATAAAGTAGAATTACCAGCGTGTAGGAATACTCTTTTACAAGTAAAAGTCCTGCAAATGTTACTCAAATCGAAGTACAAAAGTATTAGCATCAAAATATACTTAAAGTACCAAAAGCAAGTAGTCATTCTGCAGATTGGTCCATTTCAGAATAATATATATATTAAATGTCTTGTAATGATTGATCATTAAAGTGTTCTCAAAGCAGGTAAAGGTGCAGCTAGTTGTAATGACTTTGTATACTGCAGGGTAGCTTGTGAATCTACTCCAGGTGGAACTAAAGTCTGATTTAAGAGTAAATTATATTTCACATCATTAATCCAGATCTGTAAAGTAACTAAAGGTTCAAATAAATGTAGTGAGGTAAAAGTACACCATTTACCTCAAAATTGTATCAAGTACAGTGCTTGAGTAAATCTACATAGTTACTTCCCACCTCTGGTAATCGAGACAGCTGTTTTTGTTTTATCGGAACTTAATTTCTTAGCAGACATAGTTAAAATGAATTGATGGATATTATAAAATATAGTGCGTACTAAACTTAAGGACTATTTTTGTAAAGGCAATACTCACTATGCTTTTGCATTACACTGTTGTCTGATTGAGTCCTAGAGGATTATTAATAAGAAAATAATATACCACTTTTCATTGCATCTTAAAATGACCTTGTGTAGTCTCTGTTGTGTCTACTATATGTCCTGACTGTTTCCATCCTCTTGCTATTCAGGGGAATTTTCAATACCGGCCTTACCTTCCTCCCTGACTTGAGCAACATCCACTCTAATGACATGAACTTCATGCTGTGAGTTGCTTTAGCTTTTAAACTAAGCAAACTAATCAATATTCATGCAAATTAAAAAGTGCTTTGTGTAGCATATTAAACACATTGCCACATTCATTCGAAGCCATTACTAATGTTACCATGAACCAACATGGCTTCTAAATACTGCTCAAGGAATGATAAAGAATGAAATCATCGACTATATGTAGACCATCGTTTGCATTACATTTAAGGACAGGCATGAAGCAAGATTGAAACACAACTTTGCACAGGGATTATGGGAAATGTGGTTTCAATGATGAGAAATTGCCACCACTAACAGACCACTTCCCTTCAGAAATGTGATTTTGTCTTTTTTTGAGTCAATAAACATCTGCCTTTACGTATAAAACCTTCTGCATGAAATGAACATCTACACATCTTTCTGTCAACACCCTCTCAACTCCCTCTAATTTAATTTTCCCACTGTGTCGTAATACTTGAGAATTCATCCATTACTTTATTTCTCCCTGTGCCACTTTCCAATGAAAGGTATTTATTTGCAACACCACTTCATTTCCTCCCTACTCGGTTTCTTCCTTTGCAGGGAAATTGCCGATCATCCCTACATCACTGAGATCCCGGCCAACTCATTCCGTGGCATCACCAGCGACGTGCTGACAGTGTAAGATATCTGCAAGAGCATCCATATGCGTTAATGTAGAGAAGAACTGCTTAAATGTATGTTTCTGTCATACACTTTTATAAAAATTCATAAGAGAAACGTGAACTTGATTTAAACTGTAGTTGTTAAATGTATTGTGAACATCCTAATCCAATCTAAACCCTAAAATAGCCACTAGAATTTGTGTGGATTGGCAAGAATTACACTTTTGAAAACATGTCCTCAGACTGAACTGACTTGAACCTCTCAAAGATAGCGCAAACAAGTACACCGACACTCAAAGACCACTGGCAATCACATACAAGTGGTTAGGTTTGGGAGCAAAGGAAGATGCATTGCAATTATAATCCACAAAACAGCATGTTATAGAAAATGTTGGATGAAAAATCACAAAACTGCGCAGAAAGATGAAACCTCAACATCGAAAGTGAAATAAGTAGCTCCTACTTATCTGTCCCAGAAACAGATAAGGCATAAGCCCATGGGAAAGTATGCTAATTCAAAGGATTGTTTGTTTGAAATAACTGTTTCGTTGTGTTGATGTTACTGTATGAACTTTTTTGTTTTGTTCCAGGGTGCTGTATGGAAACGGCTTGAGAGAAATCCATAATCATGCCTTCAATGGGACTAAACTGGATCAAGTGTAAGTATTTCACATTAACTCATTACTTATGGTTGCAAAAAAACAAAACAGTAACCATCCAAAAACCAATGGATGAACTCACAGTGGCCATGTCGACTTCCTCTAAACAGCTTATGGTTGTAGATATGCAATAGGTTACTATTTCATCTGTTATTTGTAATTATATTATTGATAAATCTTGCTAATCTTTGATCATGTAAGGCTAAGAACGCCAGTAGCTACTGGCTTTAGCTTAAAGGGGACCTATCATGCAAAATGCACTTTTGTACGTCTTTTATACATGAATATGTGTCCCCGGTGTTCCAGGGAACTCACCAAGTGTCAGAAAACACAACCCTCTCTATTTTCCTCCATACCCAAATCTCTAAAAAAGGGGCTGCAACGGATCTGATAAAAACTGATCCAGCGCTACGGCTATTGGGCCAACTCCACCAATCAGGAGGAGACAGCCACGGCCATTGCCGTTCGAAAGCGCTGGAGACGCTGTAGTACATATGCCAGGCCAATAGATGGTGCTGTTCTCACTGAATCTGCCCTTGCTAAAACAGAGCTAAAAAATGTCAAATTGAGCGAAATGAGGCATGGCTAAAATGCATGATCTGTTTGGTATTTTGAAAAAAAAAAAGTATAAATATGCCTTATATAGGTATGGTCCTACACTATATTATTCAAATATAGCATGATAGGTCCACTTTAATATAAACCACACAAAGATTAAAGTGGTCTTGTCTTATCATCTCACCTTTTAGCAAACAAACAAATAGGCTTACGAGTATTTCTTATAATGTCATTTTGTACCTTTTCCAGCAGCTTCAAACACAACCTAGTTAATACACACACTATCACACAGAATAATATAAAACGTGTAAGTGGTGTAGCTACTTGTGTATTAGGTTCAAGGGTAATTTTCTGTTTGCTTTGTTTTTACTCTTGTGTTTTCATAAAATGTAACTCTTTACTCCCATTTGTTTTTTCATCTGGTAAAAATATTTTTCACTGGAACACCAAAATCAGTCAATTTAGCGGTCTTCAATTTCTCACAAAATTATGTTGCTCAGTGTTTTTGACTGTAATAAACCATTTCTGACATCTGGCATGTGTATTTCCTTTCCCACAATTGCACTACAAAAGCAGTGGGATCACAGTTGGGTCTCTACAAGCCTTCTCATATGTTCTCAAAAAGGACAGAAGCCCAGCTCTTGATTAGTCAACTGGAGTTTTCATAGGAAAATATGATTTTGTAGAAGTTGGTATCAGGAAACAGTAACCTTCCCACATGCTCTCATAGACACTGGATGCTAGATCTGTGTCAAACCTGAAGAAATCAATGTCACACTTATATACTCAATAGCCTCAGTAGGATAAATGACAACAGTGGAGGTAACCATTGCTTCCTTTTCCTCTTTTTTTGCAACATGTTTTCCTTTTTTCTGTCAACCGCTGGCCCAGAATCCTGCATATTTAGGATATGAGGTTTTAATGTTATTAATTTAAGACCCCTCTCTTCTTTTACAACACCTACACACATCTCAGGTCCCTTTAAGAGGCTAATTAAGCCATTGGTCGTATACCAGAGAGTCTTCACACATGTGTATTTGTGTTGGAGCACGTTCTGCTCTGAGGGGAGAACTGATCCCAGCACTGCCTGACCAAGACAAATACACCCCTCAGAGGTCTATTATCCTTATTAGATTTAAGGGATTTGGGGAGATGTGTAGTGTGGGTGCTCAGTGTGTTTAAGGAAAACGCCATCACATCTTATACTGTCTAATTTGAATCAACAATGTGAGTGAGACCTTTTTCTGTCATGTTTCACTTCTGAAATGAGAGAAAATAAACAGAAATGTGCGGTGATGAGGCTTGGAAAAATATGCCATGCCTCACCTCTCACGGTCTGATTGAAATGTGAAGGATACCCTTTCTCCTAATAAACTTACATTTGTGCTTTCCTGTCCAGGGACCTTCGCAGGAATAAGTATCTTACCAAGATCGATGAAAGGGCTTTTGGGGGTACCATCAGCGGCCCCTTGCTTCTGTAAGTACCTGAAGGGATTTGGACATTTGAGCCGCTTGCAACTCTGTAATTAAACACAATCCTTACCTCACATATAGCACCTATACTTATTTAACTTAAGCATGTCTAAACTCAGTTACATCCATTTTTGTGTAATTTTGTAAGATCTCTGTCGATTCATCTGGATGCTGATGACGATGACCTAAACTTTTCTTTTCATAAACAATGTACGCTAGAGGGGGTAGGACCAGAAACGTTTTTAAGCATTTCCTTGCCCCTTTTGAACATGACGGAAACTATTTTCTTTTTTTTATACCTTGAATGTTTTTTTTATTTTGCTTCTCTTTGTTATAATTATTATTATTGTTTGTTTTGTTTCTAACATGTTCAATAAATTGACTAATAATCTTAGTGATACTTTTATCATGTACCTTTTTTAACATTCCCTCAACTATCGTTTAAATGTATTCTTTTAAATGGATCTTGAAACTAGTTGTAGTTGTGGTAACCTGTAGCCTAATATAAAGAAGTCTATGTAACTTTCAAAGGAAGAAAAAGCTGTCCAATACAATCAATGTTTTTTCTCCTCCAGCCTTACTTGGTCTGGTATGATGACCAATAGCTTAGGACCCAAGGGTAGCTAAAACTGAGATGAAATGGAAAATGCCTTTTTTACAGCTTTTCTATCACATTCCTGTTAAAAAAAAAAGTGCTTCTGGTCCAGTGAGTCATTTTTCTGACCATTGGGTTTGACTTTAAAACAATGGGCACTCTCCTGTCATGGTAGGAGTGATTCATACCCTCTTTAAAACTATTTTATAGACTGTTTAATCATTGACTTCTGACTCTGATCAACAGCTGCTTGGGTAGCAAAAGGAATTTATAATTTCACTATTTAAGATGGATAAATGTTATTTTTGGCGCCATCTTGACTGTAAGGCACAATTGAGTGAGATCAACTCACCTTAGGAGGTACACATGGATTTTCTGATTTATTCTTAAGGCTATAGCGACTCCTGTTGCATGACTTTAAAGGAATAGTTATGAGCATTTTGGGAAATACGGTTGCTTTTTCACTTTCTTGCAGAGTTAGATTATGATTGATATCAGGTTTTGTACGAACAAGATATGTTATAACTAGTGAGCTTCAGAGATGTTGGATAGTGGATTTTGATACATTGGACGGAGCCAGACAATGATTCATCTTCTTAAACCTTGGCAAAAAAGGAAAGCAGTACTGCTTCAATTATTTATTTCAAATGTACATATAGCATACAATTTGAAAAGTGTATTTATCAATCAACATGTTGGAAGTGTCCTTGGGCAAGAAACGTAACCCCAAATTGCTCCCGTAGTCATGACTACAGTATTGAAGTGTATGCAAGTCGCTTTGAATAAAATTGTAAGCCGAATACCATGTAATAGTAAATAGGCCTAGTTTGGTAATTTCATTATTCACACCATGTCAAGGTAGATTTGAACAATTTCCTCACGCATCATGTGCAGACTGGATGAGCTATGTCTGCGAAATGGATAGCATATCATCAAAGAGTATAAATCATTCCTCCACAGCTGTGTCTTTGACCAGGAAATCTGAAACGCATTGTGTGCAAGCGTGGGACGGAGTAACTTCCGACATCTCCCTGATACTGTCATCGTTTTTGCCATTCTCAAGGATTTTAAGGCTTAGTCTGCGTTTTATAAGGTGTTTGATTGTCAAAACCCGTTACCACGGCTATTCAGTTGCTGTTATGGCTCTGATCTTGTCGTTAAGTGTCTGCTAAGGTAAATGGGTTCGTGTGCAGGTCTTCATCCCCCGTTCCACTGGGGAACATGTCCTAAGTGAGGTCAGCTCCATGAGGTCATGAGCTAAACATCTGGGAATGACAAAATCAGACTGACACTCAGAGTCTGTGCTGCTTTTATTGAAGACTTTCACAATGTGCCCCATGAGAGGAAAAAGAGCAGAGGGCACAGAAGTGGGGAGAGCAAATGGGACTTAAAAAGAACAACGGGGCTCTTAGCAAATATTAAATGGTTTGGCTTTTGTTTCTTTTATTTAATCGAATTAATCAGCAGATACAATGACTTTTTAATGGGTTAGGAAACTAAAGAAAGCAAAAGAGAACTTGGACTCTACTTGGCCTTTGGAAGGGGCGAATGTCCAGTGCTGAAAAGTGGAATGTCCGGATAATGGAATCACATGGGATGTCGATAAGATTGTCAATCCCCTGCATGTCTTTGGCCCGATGAGGTTGAGCTGGCTTTGGCATGATGGCCAACCACGTGTAAAAAGATGATGAAGGAGTGAGCAGTTGAGTGTAGGAAACAGATGGAGGGTGTTGTTTAATCTAGATCTCTGGTCTAATCATGTATGCCTCTAGGTTTTCTGATAGTATGTTTTTTCAAGAGATGTGCTGGGTGGTAACTGCTGGTTCTTCTCTCAGTTAGTCAGATGAAAGAATAGCATTTAAACTTAGTTAATAGCATCCATGAAGTGCATTCTCACATGTGAGGGATGTGCAGAAAATGCCATGTTATCACTTGTATTGGGGATATAGCTTAACCCCATTTGTGACCTCAGGAGTAATACAATTTAAGGGCAAAGTCCAAACATTTAAAAAGGTACAGGGTATCCAAGAAATGTCTGCGTGGAAAGTTTTACAGGAGCAAAAACCAGAATTTAAATCCAATATTTGCACACTCTATATCCAACCACAGCAACATATTTTCCGGTAGAGAGGAAGAAGAGCAGAGCGGTGCAGTCTGTGGAAATATTGAATTTTATAGTTCTGTTAGTTTTGACCCCCAAGATTTTAATCATTCCTAGCCCAAAAAGTACCCTTGAAAAACTTAAAATAGGGCTTTGCCAAGAATGATCGCATGCATTGAAGTTAAGATCTATAATAAGGCATCTAATTCTTTCATTCCCTTGTTGTCTCAAAGAGACGTGTCCCTAACTGGGATCACCTCCCTGCCAGCCATAGGTATGGATTCTCTCCGGAAGCTGACGGCGCGCGATGCCTGGGCCCTCAAGAAACTGCCACCCATCGAAACCTTCAAGCACCTCACCGTCGCCAATCTCACCTACCCCAGCCACTGCTGCGGCTTCAAAAACTTCAAAAAGAAACGAGGGTGAGCTTTCGTCAATTATTCACTTTGTGTTCTTGAATGTACTTGTGAAAGTCAGAAAAGTGGAGGCATCTCAAGAAGATTGTCCTTGAAAGACCAACTGCATCCGATAGAATGTTTTTGTGTGTTTGGATGATCTACCACGGTGAGTAGGGCAGCTGCACTTGTATGGTGTGGACTTTGGCAGGGATTTAATCAACTCTGACGTGTTTACCTATAACTTCAAACAGTGCTGGCATAATTAGTGTCACTCATTGCTGTTATTGTAGGAAGAAGGTTGAGCCAGACTTTTCTTCAACTGGATATAATGTAATGAGTTCATTTGACACTTAGCGTGAGTGAGGGTTAAAGCCAGGTGTGTATCTGTCTAATACAGGACTAGAATATTACTTTATGGACTCAATCTGTTTGTGTTTTACAGCTTTTACGAGTACATTCTCTGTAACTTCACTGCTTTCTACGACCAACATCACAAGCGCTCTGTGGGGCCCCTCGGCATGCCTTCCCTCCAAGGGGATGATGTTGTGGAAACAATCCCAGACCAGGAGCCAAGTGACGGAAGCCACAGAGACTCCCAGCAGGACTGGAGGAGAGGTGACTTCCATGGAAGCCTCCACTACCACGCCTACTTTGGGGGTCAGCCAGATGATGATGTGGGTTTTGGAGAGACCCTCAAGAACCCCCAGGAGGACACCAGCCAAGACTTCGAAGGTCCTTACGATTATGTGATGTGTGAGGAGGGAGTGGAGGTGAAATGTGTACCAGAGCCCGATGAGTTCAATCCTTGTGAGGACATAATGGGTTTTGGCTTCCTGCGAGTGTCCGTGTGGTTTGTGAGTCTGCTGGCTGTTCTGGGAAATGTGGTGGTGCTCTTGGTTCTGCTCACCAGTCACTACAAGCTCTCGGTCTCTCGCTTCCTCATGTGTCACTTGGCCTTTGCAGATCTGTGTATGGGGATTTATTTGCTTCTTATTGCCTCTGTAGACCTCCACACGCAAGCAGAGTACTTTAACCACGCCATAGACTGGCAGACGGGCCCTGGTTGTGGACTTGCAGGGTTTTTTACGGTCTTCGCCAGCGAGTTGTCTGTCTACACCTTGACGGTGATCACTCTGGAGAGGTGGTACGCTATCACCTTTGCTATGCGTTTGGATCGTAAGCTGCGTCTGCACCACGCCGCAGCCGTGATGCTAGGCGGCTGGATCTTCTGCCTCCTTCTGGCCCTGCTCCCATTGGTCGGGGTGAGCAGTTACCAGAAGGTCAGTATTTGTCTCCCAATGGACACTCAGTCCACAGTGTCTCAGATCTTCATCTTGTCAGTGCTGGTCCTCAACATCCTCGCCTTCCTTGTCATTTGCGCATGCTATTTTAAGATCTACTGCGCAGTCCATAACCCTCACTACCGGTCTGGATCCAAGGATACCAACATTGCCAAGCGCATGGCTGTCCTCATCTTTACTGACTTCTTATGTATGGCTCCTATCTCTTTTTACGCCATGTCAGCCGTTCTGGATCGACCGCTTATCACAGTCTCCAACTCTAAGATTTTATTGGTGCTCTTCTACCCGCTCAATTCCTGTGCAAACCCATTCCTTTATGCCATCTTCACTAAGGCCTTCAGAGGGGACGTATTCATCCTCCTCAGTAAGGTGGGTCTTTGTCAGCAAAGGGCACAGCTTTTCAGAGGCCAGACGGTGTCGTCAAAGGGCAGCAGCGGGACGTCTCAGGTCCGTAGGGAGAAGGATAAGGTTAGGAAAGGTGGAAGCGGAGGCCAGGAAGAGGCGCCCATCCACCTGAAGAAGAGCTCCGGACATACCTGCCAGCAGACGAGCCCTGAAGAGAGCCAGAGCCTGAAGACGTGAGACAAACACCAGCTGGAGCGAGTAAAGCAAGACAGGTTCAGGTGGGAGAGGAGAGGCCTTGAAGTGTTTGTGGACAGATCTGTTTGGATATTTAACAGAAAGCTCTACTTTTCTATCTGCTTCAGTTTTCAGGCCAAGTTCAGCTGTTTTGACAATTTCGGCTGTGATGATTTTATGGTTCCAGTTGTTGGAGAATATCAAGTGTCACTGAAATGCGAGCCGGACTTCATCTCACTCAAAGTCCTTTGTATTTGGAGGGACGGGCTAGAGAAGGACAGCAATTATTCTAAGGAAAGATAGTATAGATATTGTATTTGACCATAAGATATAGTAATAGATAAATACTCAAACCTACATATATAACTATGAATTGAATCTGATTTTTCAGTATCTTTAATTTAGTTTAATTTCAATGATCTCTGCACTGTCTAGCATTGATATACAAGGGAATAAAACAGATTTTTTGAAACACTTCATTATCCTGCAATATGATGACCTTTCAGAGTCTTCTCAGTCTTTGTTATAGTCTTCAAGGACAGCCTGCTGGCTCAGTGCTGTTCCACAGTGGAAACTTTATCCTGAAAATGTAAAAACACAGTCTTTCTTATTGTATTATCCGTAATAATATGAGGTAATTAGACAATAGTGTTTGGGGATTTATGAATGAAAACGGGACCGGTGGTATTTCATCTGTAAACTGAAAAATGCATTCACAAAAGTATGGTTATGGTACCTGACTGTGATGTGGAAAAGCAGAAATAAGTGTTTTTATAGTCCAAGTAGACTTTGAAATTATACTTTTTTGTTGCCTATACCTGCACCAAATGTATGTATCACTTTCTTGAATTCATAAAATATTTGTGTACTTGTTGTAACTGTTACTGTTTGTTAATGTAACCAAATATTTTCACATTTTCACATTTATCCAGCAAAACAGTTTGCATAAAGAGGAAAGGTATGTCCTTAACCCAACCACAAGTGTTAAATCCAATTACAAAAGCAAACACAAGACATATTTGGATTATTAGACATTTTCTACAAATTACAGACAGGTATGATAATCACAAATGTATACTGTTAAAGCCTGCCTTTCCATTGGAATGCCATGGTTGTTTTTCTAGCATGATCGTGATATTTTTCCCTCCTCTTACGGAAACAAGTGACTTATACAATCAGCAGAGATAGCTTTGCCTTCGCCTGGAGAGCCTAAAGCAAATACAGCTGAGACACGTGTGAGCTGGGGCGCTGTAACTTGTGCGATATTGAGCCATTATGAGTTAAAGGACACCCTCTGCCAATGGCAGCTTAACATCTGGTTAGCATTTCATCTGCTATGTGACATTTTGTTCAAGGAGATATACAGATGAACAGGGGGGACTTTCCAAGAAAGAGGGATCATTTCAGTCCTTTATTAATTTGCTTGCAAAGTTGTTGGGTCATAGATATTTGACCAGGCTGAATGGTTTGTTTCAGTACGGAAAAATATATTGTACAATGTTTACAACTCTTTACTGCCGTCTTGAAGCATTAGTGAGGTTAAACCTTAAAAAGAAGAGTGGCATCTGCTCCCTTTGTTCTAGACTTCCTAACAGGCTAAAAGGACATCATTTTCATCTAAATGTTTTCCACAGCTTTGTGTCAATCTCCTCCAATCACCTATTAACAACAATCCACCCTTCAAATGCTAAGCACACAGAGCTGGAGCACGATGTGCCTGGCTGAATTTGTAAGGGGCCTCCTCATTCCACTGCCATCTAATGTTAACCCACATTTTATAGTTCTGTATAGTGTGCGCATGTCAAGTTTGATAAAAATCAAACCACTGCACATCTGTGTGGGTGACAGGGTGAACACGAAAAGACTGGGGGTGGCGACACACCTGTCCTTTGAAACTACACCTCCACTTAGGATTCATGAAGTGTTTTTTCAAAGCCATCTGGATTATTACAGAAAATATCTGACAAAACTGGCCGCACAAACCGATCGAGACTTGGACTGTATTTATTTATGACATTCTTCATGTAGCTGGTTCTCAGGCCTGCCTGATTATTCCTCTCCCGGTATTTCAAATAAACCAATCGCCCAGTGTTTCCTCAAATAAGCAGGGAACGACCCGGCGATGCACCTCGCTAACACCAGATTATGTTGCTCAAATCAAATACAGCGGGAAGAAATCATGAGAAGCACGGAACAGAGACACTGAGGTTTCTATCAGGAGGTTCAGAGAAGTATTGGTCACTCAGAGGTCAGAGTCTTTAACCATCCGGCACTTATAGCTGGGAACACAAAATCCCTGCATTTATGACGTTATATCTTGCGTTGTTCAATGGGCCAGTAAGCATGGACGGTCCTCTTGAAGAGTAAAGTTTCTTTCTTTTACAGAAAGCTCTTTAAAATTACTAGAGCGAACCACAGAGTGGAAGTCAGTGAAAACATTTGTCTCTGTTGTTCCAAGAGTAGTCAAACCATAACATTTAAGACAGACTTTATATTTTCACTGAACATTTCACTTTTACACAAGCCTACATTTGATCTGTGAACAATCTACTTGTATGCAAGGTTTTATCTGTTTGTGCAGATGCATGAGTCATCACAAACTCATTTGCATGGTGGAGTGCATTGCACGCAACCAAAATGATCAAATCAAAACGCCATATTGTTGATTACATTTGTACAGGAGGAACACCTGGCTAAAGGCCCTCGTCAAAAATAAGGTATTTCAATAACAAAAGCTATGTTGCAATTTGTTGGGCTAATTACATGCACGGATCATCTCAAAGGACTGTTCTTGCCACAACTTGTTTCATCACATTCTCCTATACTATAGTACCAAAAGATGAAAGGGCCTTTTGTAACCAAGGTCCAATAACTATGCAGATTATAACACATTATTTGAACATTTCACAGCTGTCCAAACATCATCTTTGTATCCACAGATGTGTTGACTCAAATCACATGACTCCAAATCATTGACTCTTTGAATCTGAAGACTTTAAGTAATTGGTATGGTGTGCCGTCCGATCATGGCAAAAGCCAAATGTGTATATAGCTAACCACACTCGAAAGACATTCAAGATGTGATTACACTTTCATCTTTCCACTAAGCCATTTGAAGTGTTGCAATTATTTGTACACACAAGAAGTGATAGAGGTTATTGAATAAACAAGATTTATAGAAAACAGTACTCACTCAATGCACCTGCTCAGTGATCCGTGAAGTGGAAATGCTTGTCTGATGTTCGAAAGGTTCTGGGAGGAGTCAGGCGTTGTTTCATCATCCAACAACCACTTCAGTTACAATAAATGCTATCTTTACTATCGATTGACAAAATCACAAAATACATTTATCAGAAGATAACTTCACCTGGAGTTCTTGCCTCTTTTTCTTTGATGAATTCATATTTTCCCAAGGCCCAAAGATGCACCTCTTAAGACGTTGAGCAATTCAGCGATCAGTAGCCAATTGGTCTTTTTCACAACAGCCATTTTGAGACCTCGTAGTAGGAGAAGCACAGGTGTTACTAATAACATTGACGATGGCTCTGTTCCATTCGTGTCCCTTAAGTCATGACAGTGTGACAGTGAGCCAGCACGCACAATCCCAGGACCATGAAACTGAAAAACCAGGAAAGGAGGTATGTCCATTAGAAACGGATAAAGGCTCTTTGTCCCAAAAAGCTTCACAGACTACAGTAAACTCAACATGCCACAGCCAATAGACCTGGCTACTACATTCCACTGAAGCGTACAAACTCCATTTTGCCATGCTTCTGATTGGCAGTCACTGTCAGTTAGGTGGTAAGCAGAGAAAGCTATAGAGTCTAAGCTAGACATCTCCTGGGCCTCATTATAAGCCTCATTCGCCAGCAGCACAGGCTCTTACATCTGAGTGCCCAGGAGAAGCAAGAGGGCCCACTTTGTCAGAAACAGCCAGGGATACATTCTTCCTCCACAAGGTTTGTTCAGGACTGAATAAGTCTTTGTGAAGCTTGATATATTGTAGATGTGACGGCATGCCACAAATCCATTTACAATCAAGGGCAGAAATCTCCATGTAGTTTCTGATTCAGCTCTAATCCCAGACAGCACCACACCTTCATCTCATAATTATCCAAAAGGAAATACACAGGGATTGTATCAATTTGGTTAGGATTTAGAGGAAAGGCAAGGAGAACGCCCATGCTGTGCATATCCTGAAAGGCATCCAGACACTGGATTACAGGTAATTTAAGACAAATTGAGGCATATTTAGGCCCACTTTTCTATGTAGCATCAGATGTAGTGATTTCAAACCAGAATTCCTGTTCCCCTACACCGGGGGCTTTTTTCAGATTATGTTGACAGATAAGAGAAACTCAACTACTAAAATAAATATAGAAGTATTATTACTAAGATTGGATTCGAGAATATAGACAATTTAATGCAGCTATAAGACTTGCATTATGTGAACAAACTGTTGAAATGGTAAACTAAAAGCAAAGTGGTTAAAAGTAGTTTGGTAACTTTAACTTTATGGATTATGTTTTACAATAATAAGCTTAAGTACATTTCAAGTGGATAAAGTACAAGTGCTAGCTAAATTGATTGACCAAATACAATAGCTAAAAGTAATGGATAAATTGTTACTTCGGTTAACTAAATGTAATGGATAATTTCTAACAAAAGTTAGCTAAAAGTAATGAAAAAATGTTCAATAGTTAGCCAAAAGTAAAAAGTGAGTTTTTACAAAATTAAGCTAAAAGTACTAGCTAAATTGCTTCAATGGTTAGCTCAAAGTCTTAGATAAATGGTTACAATATTAAGCTAAAACTACTAGCTCGATTGCTAGCTAAAAGTAATGAAGTGTTAAATAGTTAAGATGAATTTAATGGATAAGGTGTTCAATAGTTAGCTAAAAGTAAACAGTGAGTTGTCCCAACTCCCAACTGCACGCCACGGGACCCTGACCAAGCGTTGCTCCTGGACGTTTAGGGAGTGAGAGTGTGTTGGCCATTGGAGTG